AGGCACGGAAGTATGAATAGCCTACTTTCGCAGCACTAAACAACTATATCTCGCAACCCTAATCAGTAGGTTTCCACTCTGATTCTGGAAGGGAGAAGATGCAATAGCAGAACAAGACTCATCAATATTCACAACTCAACTACAGGTAGGTTTCCACTCCTATAGAAGAATTGCTCGTTTCACCCTAGTTCAGACAATCAATGAAAGCTTTCGCAACATATCATATCAGATCGGCTTCTAAGTGGCCAGCAAAGAATCACGCAGTAAGATTAAAGGCAAACGAAGAACATCTAGAAGATTATAAATCCTAAATCTATCGATTCATAAGCAAAGACACATGAAATTCCCTTTGAATAATCCCTTTAAACCCAACTGGGTAACTACTCAAACATATTGTAAACAATCATCACAGAGTATTGAAAGTTGCAGGAAATTAAAGAAAAGAAGGAAGAAGAACGAAGAACGGAAGCGACGACGGAGGCGCGATGTCTTCCTCCAGCGGCGGCTCCTCCAACAAGGGCGGCGGCCTCCTAGGGTTTTTGAAGCACTCTCACGAAATCTCTCTCTCTTTCTATCTTATGTCGTCTCCCCACCTTTAGGAATGACCTAAAGGGGGTATTTATAGCTTCTGGGGTGGTTCTGGACACTTAGGGCTTCAAAAATGACGAAAGGAATTGATCTGGGCTTTAATTAAATCGTAGGGAAAGTGAACAACCAAAGTCCGCGGTCGCGGTGGCTCTACCCGCGGGAAAATAGGTGTTTGCCGCGGTCCCAGCACATGCTCTCTTCCGGAACTGCATTTTCTGTCATTATTGCATCGGGATTATCTGAAGATCTAACCGTTGGATTGTCTCCAAACCAAGTGCATTAGAAAGCTGGTTGGATCGTCTATGTTTTCTCAAATTTTGGGGGTGATCAGACGGTGAGAAGGTCTTCATCGCTTGTCATACTTCTGACGGTCTGCATTTATCCAAAATTGCTCATTTGTTCCAAATTGCATATCTTTTGCCCAAGTTTCCTGTAAAGTCTTTTGAAACTCTAAAACATTGAAAAAACTTTAAAAACCTTTGAAAATAGAGTTAAAACACCTGCATAAGATACAATTATGATCCATTTGGTTGCAATCCTTGGTTTGCATCTCCAGCAGCGTTGAGAGGTGCATCAAGGTCTACAAGTTCTTCTCTTCTCTGGTCCACAGCATCTCGGTTTTGATGGTTTCTTGGAGGGATCGGGTCTTCTTCTCCATCGAGCCGAGGTTAACCATCTACTCTATGATCATTCTCTCAGTCATCACCATGATCGGATCCATTATGGTCTTCATTAAGGTTTCGGTTTACAGGATCTCCAGGTTGGTCGTCGTCGACCATTCCTTGCATTCGTCTAAGTATTCAAAGTTCTCTTTCGTGTCTGTCAATCTTGTCTTGAATCGGAATGTTTGCTGCAACTTTGTGCCTGGTATTCATGCACATCACTAGAGAGAGATAAAAACAAAAGAAGAAAAAGAGATTTCAGTAACTAAAGAAGGAACTAGAGATCAGATGTTTAAAGAAATTAGAACAAGAAAAATAAAAAGCAGCAAAACAAATCCCCAGCAACGACTCCAAAAGCTTGATGTGGTGTGTGTGGGGGTGTCAAATTTTACCCTAAAATAAACAAATGAAAGTCGCAAGTGCACAGCTAATCACTTGTAGTACTTAGGGATCAAATCCACAGAGATTTGTGTGTCAAATATTTTCCTACGGTTTCTAAGTTTATGTCTAGACTAAATTGGTTTTTAAGAGGTTGGTGTGTATCACGGATTAAACTAAAAACTAAAAAAGACAAATAAACTATCCTAGAAAGCAAGTGAACAATTGAATGGAAGTAAAATGAAGCAAGCAGGATTTCGAATGAAAGCAAGTAAAAATGCGGATCTAAGAAAGCAACTATAAATCGATTAGGTTGTAAACAATAATTAAAATTTCTGGGCTTTCGGGAACTCTATAGGGATCATAATCGGTTTCAACAACTAAGGCTATAGATTGGGATTATTGGATATCAAAATATCTAGGGTTCTAGAGCTAGAGTACGGCGGTATGACAATGTCACTGCCGTGATCATAACTAACTGTCTCTCGCAACCTTGACCAGTAGGTTTCCACTCTGGCCCTAGAAGGGAGAAAAAGCAGGAACTTGTATAGGACTCGTCAATACTCAAGACTCGCCCATAGGTAGGTTTTCCCTCCTATGGTTGAATGAATCATCCGTTTCAATCTAGGTCGGATACTTAATGAAAACTTTCGCAACAATAACTATCTAGGTCAGACACTAGGTGATCAATCAAGCATACATGTATTAAGAACAAGAATAAACGAAGAACATAAAATAAAATCCCAAATCTAAAAACCTAGATGTCTTATTCGATTATGAGAGCCCCTTCGGGAACCCTATGCCCAACTCAGGATCTACTCATACATAGCTGAGGTCGACATCATCATTGGTTTTAATGAAAGCAATCAAAAACAGTAAAGAAAAGAGGTAGAAGAAAGCTTCTCTATTGATGAACTCAAAGTTGAGAAATCTTCTTTACAAATCGCTAAAACGGCTAAGAAAGTTGTCTCTGTAAAAAGTTTGGAAAAGATATCTAAAAACGACCTAAATGACAAGTAGTTATAGTCTTCAATACTCCAAGGAATGTAGGTTTTTAGAATTGAGGCTTGGAAATGACTTGGACTTCAGAAATTGGCTTCTTAAGTCAGAGATGGATGGCCGCGGTCACATGAGGCATGACCGTGGTAAATGGGTGCTTGGCCGCGGTCACGTGGCTCTGGCCGTGGTAAATAATTTGTTGGCTATGGTCCCGTAGCTTGCTGACCGTCTTCAAATATCTTAGAGGCAAATAGAATATTTTGAGATCCAACCGTTGGACTGTCTCCAAACCAAGTGCATTTGAAAGCTGGTTGAGTCTTCTATTAAGTATCCAATTTTGGGGATGATCAGACGGTGAGAATCTCTTCGTTTCTCTTTGAGAGTTCTGACGGTCTGAATTTATCCAAAATAGTCTTTTTGTTCCAATTTGCACCTCTTTCTTCCAAATTACCTGAAAAGTCTTTTAAAATCCGAAAACATAAAACCTTTGAAATCCTTTGAAAAGGGAGTAAAAACACCTATAACAGATATTAAAGTGATCTATAAAAATAGTCAAAATCCAGTGTTATCAATGGAAGCCAAAAAAGGGTCACATCAATATTAAACCAAAAATGCACGCTTTCGCAATGTCACTAGTCGTCGCGAGCTGATTCAACCAATCAGCGTTCTTGCCGACCTCTAAGAATTAATTCATAAGAAGACAAATCGACAACCGATTGTGATTCATGCCAAGTCAAAATGCTTCTGTCCGCCATACTCAGACAAGCGCTTCCTTTACCAAACTGGAGGGGGGGGGGGGTTATTATTAGAGGTGTATTCGGAAAATCCGGTTTAACTCGACATGAACTGAGATCAACCTAATTGATTCTGGTTAATGATGGTTCATGTCATGATAAACTGGGCTAAGCCGATCTAACTCGTCAATAATTAGGCCTAATATATGAATAATGCCGACCCTTGATTTTCTTAAATATCCTTTTTGAATTCAAAAAGAAAAAAAGAAATTTGGATTGAACCGGCTTCTGTTATATATATATAGGAAGGGATTCCTTATAATCAATTCAAGAAATTCTGAAGAACATTAGAGAACCTAAGCAAATAATCTAGTTCTTTAGCTTCTCATTGAATATCAATAAAAAGGCACTTCCGAGCTACTAAAACCTCTTGTGTGATTCTCAGAATTAACAGCTATATTAGCGATTTTATAAAGATTTAAAATTATGTCATTATTTTTTTCTTTTTCTTTCCACCAAGTCTGTCCATGTTGATTACGGATTTTTTATCCATAATTGTCCCGTTGGTAAAACGTCGCTACATATCAGAGGGATTTTTTGTTGCTAATATAGGTCGATTTTACCTTTTTTTTTGCATATGTAGTGCCCATTTAGGCCAGAAACCCATGAGCTACGTCTGTTACATGCTACAGTCTCTAGCTATCCAATACACTCGAATTTAACACTATTAATACATCTGAAAATTCTGAATTGGTGAGTTAAAGAAAAGATACGTCCTATATCCAATAAAATATATTATTCTTTGTGTTTAATTAAGTTTTATTTTAATAATACTTTATTCGTTGTCATTTTAAAATCTTAAATATTAAAAAAAAAAGTTAACTTTTTGAGAGCATGTGGACTAACTCTGATTAAGACTGAATCCCGCCATTTCCTTCTTATAAGTACTTGCAAATTAAGACGAACTAAGAAATAACCGCGGTCTAGCGACATCTATAGATCATCTATTAAGAATCGGCACCCTAAAGATCAAGTCATTTCCTTGCAATAAAGATAATTGGGCTAATAGAACAATTCATTATAGCCTTAAGTATTTGGAAAAAAAAACGAAATAACGTATAACATCTCTAATCTCATATTTCTATTATTATCTGCTTTTCAGACAGACAAAAGGACAAACATGATAAACAAATTACAACGGTTTGCTCAAAATCCGAAGACGTTACATCTCCACGTGCTTCATGATGAGGCTTTGCTCGAACATTCGGAGTAACGTCAAGTCTTAGGATACTTAAGCAAAACATACACGTAGCTTACACTTTTCCATGTAGTTTTCCGGTTTATGTGTTAATCAAGTTGGGCAAAGTAGAAGAAAAAATTAACTAAAACTAAAGCTATGACGTGGGGAAGAAGATAACGGTGTTAGTAAAAGAATCATCAAACCATATATGATATTGTTTGCTTTACAATTGCTTGAATGAACCCATACCAATCCAAAATAGCAATTATTACCTTTTTCTTTATTGAATAACGTATCCTATTGGTCGTGGCCTAATAGATATTCATATTCATATTCATATATATGTTCACTTTATTGTCTTTCTTTTGTTAATCTACATGACTCTCGATCGGAGGAAAAACAAGTTTTCATGTTTATCCAAAACTCTGTATTACCTTTTTTGATGTTTTATATATATAAGATGACTCGTTCATCATACTCCTCTTATCAGCTCTGCTTCTTCTAAAGATTCAGAAAAAAAAAATCTAACTTTCAATAACAAAACAAAACAAAACAAAAGTACAATTAAACCATGAAGGGTGTAGGTGCAACAATTCAAAATTTTAGGCCATATTTATTAATGATATTTTTGCAATTTGGAGCAGCAGGAACGTATATTGTCATTATGGCCACTCTCAACCAAGGCCAGAACCGTTACGTTCTAATTGTGTATCGTAATGCTGTGGCTGCTCTTGTTCTTGCACCTTTTGCACTCTTCTTTGAAAGGTAAGTATATGTAATATGCTGGATAATATTATTAATAATAGTCTTATTGTTTAAAGATTAAAATAATTAAACGATAAGGGTTAAAAACTTTATTCTTCGGACTGATTTTGATTTTGTAGGAAAGTGAGGCCAAAGATGACACTATCGGTTTTCTGGAAAATAGTGTTACTCGGTTTCTTAGAGTGAGAAATAAGCATCCCCTTTTTTAACACTCTTAATTCTCAACCTAAAAATAAAAAACAGAGGAATGATATTTTATAAAGTGACAAGTACCCTTAATGCAAACTTTTGTTTTACCGACCCTGTGTGTAGGCCAATCTTGGACCAAGGTTTTGGTTACTTGGGGATGAACATGACATCAGCAACATATACATCTGCTATCATGAACGTTCTTCCTTCAGTCACATTCATAATCGCTTGGATTCTTAGGTAATCTATGGTGCAAACACACATATTAAACAATTCAAGAAAATGATTCACTACAGAGTTAGGGGACAACAGTTTCAGTCATTCTATTGTGATTTCCAATTTTATTTGGCAACTGTAGACATGACACGTAAGAGAATAGTCTGGATTTCGGTCCAAATTCCGCGGTCATTAGAGAAAAATATTTAAATCTAACTGATATATAAAAAACGGTGATATATAAATAGAATGGAGAAAGTGAAGATAGTAGAGGCACGAAGCCAAGCAAAGATCATTGGGACATTGGTGGCTCTTGGAGGGGCATTGGTAATGACATTGTACAAAGGTCCGCTTATTCCTTTACCATGGTCTAACCCAAATATGGATCAACACAATGAACATAGCAACAGTTCACAAGACAACAACCATTGGGTTGCTGGAACCTTGTTGATACTCCTCGCTTGTGTTGCTTGGTCTTGTTTCTATGTTTTGCAGGTACGCTCCTTACTTTCCTCTTTCTTTTTTGTTTTTTTTTTTTTGTTTTTATGCGTACCAATCCAGAGCCAAATAATATATATGAATGAAAGTTTTAGTGCATAATTTTGGTTTAAAATTAGAAAAAAAAAGAGAAACTAAAAGAAAAAAAGAGCAGATTATATGGATATCTTAAAATGTGTATAGCTTAGATCATGCATATATATCAACTACAACATTACATGTATATTAGTTACGTAACTACATATATATACATACGGATATGGGTAAGCACAGATTGGATTCTCTCGAATTTAGAGTACTCGGATCCAAAAATTCCGGATTTGTCAATACCAACGCATATCAGGATCTGCCAGAAGTAGCTAATTTCATTTCGTAGAATAATAAAATAAAAGAAATTATTCAATAAAAATAATTAATATGAAATAGAACGTATCATATTAAATTTCTCAAATTGAATTTGTCAAGATTTTAGAACATATTTGTTATGCAAAACATAATCCATTTTTATAAATATATATTTGAACTAGTGATAATTTAAAGTGATTTTTAAAATATTATGTCTTTTTATATAATTTAATAAAAATTATATATGATTATATGAAAGTGGATCACTGTATCTTGCTCTTTAACTTTAGTTATCCGAAAACTCCAGATATCGTATCGGATCATGAGTCCTAGATATTTTGCGTTGCCCTAATCACATAAGCATTTTTTTTGTCGTAATCACATAAGCATTAAATGTAGTATTGTTACAAAACCTATCAATAAAAACTTTTTTATTGGACCATCGGAGTTCAAATACGCATATTACATTTAAAAGAAAAATAATATGTTGTTAGAGAAACCCCTAGAGATTTATGTATACAGCGTCGGTTTATACTTAATACATGTGTACATTTGATGCACAGTCCATAACGATTAAGACGTATCCAGCTGATCTTTCACTAGCAGCCTTAATATGCCTATCTGGCGCTATCCAAAGCACAGCAGTAGCACTCGTGGTAGAGCGCCATTCCAGTGGATGGGCAGTTGGATGGGATGCAAGGCTTTTCGCACCTCTTTATACGGTAACTATCAAATTTAAGAGTAACTACTAATCACTTGAAAAAAAGGTATTAATCAAATTTGATTTAATGAAGGGAATAGTAAGCTCCGGTTTAACCTACTACGTGCAAGGGATGGTTATGAGGACGAGAGGGCCGGTTTTCGTCACTGCCTTTAATCCTCTCTGCATGATTCTTGTAGCTCTTCTTGCTTCTTTCATTCTTCATGAACAAATACATTACGGGTGGTACGTAAAAACATATATAAACACATTGCAATTATTTATGAGCTTAATAAAATATGTCTATTTGTTCCTTAAATTTCTTATGTTGCAGTGTAATTGGAGGGACAGTGATCGCCATGGGTTTGTATTTGGTTGTTTGGGGAAAAGGAAAAGACTATGAAGTATCTGGAGTAGCTGAGAAGAATAGCCTTCAAGAACTGCCAATCAGAACTAAATTTGAAGAGGACTACAAATTGGATTCCTCTCTTGCTGATGGCAGCAATATAACCATTCCCTCTGGGGCGCACCGTCAGACATCTGGAAAATAAGTATAAAAAGACATTTTCGGGGACGAAATTTCTGTCTTGTAGTATGCATATAAAATACATATTTTGATTCGATCAAAATAAGAACATATATGTATTTAATTGTGTGCATTTTATATGGCATAAATTTACGTTATTATTATGTTTTGACGGTGGTTTTTCTTTTCTTTTTGTTTTTCTTTTTGTTTTATAATCCCATTAGTTGTAGTTGATCACTGAAAAAAAAAAATGGAAAAGAAAAAGAGTTATAGTTGATCAGGTCCAAATCACACAAACACGAGGTTTGAGGATAAGAAATATTAGTTAGGAGTGTCCAATTTAATTTTATAATAAAATAAAGATTCTGCATTCGTAGTGTTATTAAACTGTTAGAGTGTGATCCACAAGGAAATATGCTAAAGAAACTTTTCAAAAAAATGAAACAAAAACGCAGATGTTATTTTTAAACTTTTTTTTTCAGATGATATAAAAAATGCGCAACGAGCTGATCAGTCTATCTATATATTTATTTATGTAGTGATTTGCTTAGGTATCAAGTTTACAATGAGTTTCACAGTGTTTAGCTTACGTATGAGTTTTAAAATAAGTTTCGGCTGCAAAAACACTGTTTAACCCTATTTTGCAATTACATATTATTTTTTTATGTAAAAAAAACTTTAAATAAATTGGTCTAAATTATTATAGTTTAATGCTTAATTTCGTAGTCAATCAAACCATTTTTAAAATTATATAAAACCGAAATTTAGAAGAAAATAAACAAAAACATTTTTTTAAAAGGAATCTATATCTCTTAGTGTTTACCATTTCTTATGTTTCCGAAATTTAGAAAAAAAAATTAACAAAAATGTTTAAAGAAACAAAAAAATAGAGTCTATTTAAAAATTTATAGAAATGTCGTTTAAAAAAATATGATAAAATATTGCTAATTATTATAGTGTTTACGATTTCTTACGTTTATAGGGTTTTCGATTTCTTATGGTTTAGTATAAATATCAGCCACTTTTCTCTACTTCTCTCACAACTTTCAAAATTGTTTAACTTCTTCCTTCTTATTCATTCTAACTAAAAACTCATGGATTCATCAGGTAAACATATACTAATGTTTTTCAAAACAAGTATTAACATATACTTTATAGTCTTATATAAATCACGTACATATTGTTCTGCTTTTGTAGCTGTCAACAACCCTTCAAACCCTACAATAACTAACTACGTTTGACGAAAACCAATTTTCAAGCTGGCTCCAATGTAACTGTAATTATCCAGAAGTTTACTCAGAGTTTGCTTCTCACTGGTCTGGGATCAAAGAAAAATCTAATGGAAACCATGTTTCGTCGTTTCACCACATACAGGTGATGATGATGCTGAGTACTTTGAAGCTTAATTCAAATGGGTACGTAAACGAGATAAAAATGTTAATTCAAATGGGAGCTGATTATGTGCAAGCTGGTGTTGCCAAAAAAAGATAAACAAAACGAGATAAAAAAATGCATTACACTTGCAGGTTTGGCAAAATTACTTACAAATTTACAACAGTTTAAAATTTAGAAAGTGTTTATCTGTTTAGAACTAATAAAAACAAGTGCTTCTATTATAGGTATATTGCACCCTGTGAATCTTTCTGGCGGATATATCAATACAATATCGAAGTATAGCGGTTGAGAAGCTAACATTTCATCTGCCCAATCAACAGATGCTTATGTATAAACCAAATGGACACATTGAGGAGGTTCTGGAGAAATCATCTGCCGGTATGTCTAAGTTTCTAGCGTTGTTTGAGTGTTATAAAATATACAAGGAGGCAGCAGAGCTGACGTACCCCAATGTCCCATTAAAATTTGTTTGGCACCAAAAAACAAGATCATGGAAACCAAGGACAAGAAATGGAAAAAGGTTATAGGAAGGCTTGTGTTCGTATCTCAAATACTAGGTCAAATCTATTACTTGCGACTACTGCTTAATGAAGTTAAAGGCGCAACATGTTTTAAGGATATAAGAACTTACCAAGGTGTAGTCTATGAGACGTTCAAAGATGCTTTCTATGCACACAGATTATTAGACGATGACAAAGAATATATTGAAGCAATAAAGGAGGCCAGTTTCTGGTGGTCTGCTAGATATACATGCAAATTGTTTGTTATCATGATGTTCTCAAAGAGTGTAGGTTCGGTACTTGGAGTTTGGAACGCTTCATGGGAAATACTCTCCAAAGATATATTGTACCAACAAAACAATATACAGAAAAAGAAAGTATATATTTACCTATATAAAATTCTCTTAATATGTTCACAATTAAATATCTCAGAAATATATGATTTTATTAATGACTCTAAATTCTGTAAGTCAGAAATATATTTACTGATACATCAATTATACATTTTCATGGTAGATTTAGTGCTAACAGAGGAACAGATAAAGAATTTCACTCTTTCCGAGATCGAAAAGTTAATGCATTCTCATGGAAATACTCTTGCCAATTTTTATGATATGCCAAAGCCAACAATATCAAAATCGATAAATTCAACAATCAACCGCTCAGCGACTAAAAGAGTTACGATCAGGAACAACTATGCAAAGATCATATTAAATACATGACAATGATCACAGAAGAGCAGTTGGGTGTTTGTAATGAAATTCTAAATGTTATTCAGAGCAATAGGGGTGACGTTTTTATTGTCTATGGTTTTGGAAGCACAAGCAAGACTTTTTTTTGGAGTGTTCTAGGCGCTGCTTTGACATCTAAAGGTGAAGTAGTCCTAAATGTAGCATCAAGCAGAATTGCTTTATTGCTACTACAAGGGGGTAGGACAGCCCATTCTAGGTTTGGAATTCCCATAATGTCAATGACATCACAACATGCTCGATGAAATCTGGTACACATTTAGCAAACTTGATCAAGGAAACAAAGCTAATAGTTTGGGATGAAGCTCCAATGATGAGTAAACACTGTTTCGAGACACTCGACAAAAGTATGCAAATCATAATGAAATCTGAAGAACCTTTTGGAGGCAAAGTCATTGCTTTTGGGGGAGATTTTCGGTAGGTACTCCCGGTAATACCAGATGCCTGCAGAAATATAACAGTAATGGCTGCTTTGTATGCATCAAAGCTTTAGAAAAAATGTAAGGTTCTACGGCTGACTAAAAAACATGCGAATATACACACCGGTCTGAGTGAAAGTGATGCAAATGATATAAGCTCTTTTTCAAAATGGATTCTGAATATCGGAGAAAGGAAAATAGATGACCCTAATGATGGAGAAACTGAGATAGAGATTCCAGAAGACTTATTAATTCAGGACTGTGATGATCTAGTAAAAACTATTGTAAGGAAAATATATGGAGAATCCTTTGCTAATAGAGATGACCCCAAGTTTTTTAAAGAATGAGCTATTTTGGCCCCAACAAATCTGGATGTCGAGAGAATTAACGAGTATATGCTTTCACAATTAATAGGTATTATTTCTTTGACAATACAATATATGTTAACACTTATTCCTACTTAGATTTTGAATATCTCAGAACTCTCTAATTGTGTAATTCTATAGGTGAGGAAAGAGTTTATTTGAGCGCTGATAGTATCGACCCATAGGAAAGAATGGTAATTCCAGAATATGATATAGATACTTTGGACAAAGATTTTCCGAAAGATATTGTCTACACACAAGAATTCTTGAACAACATCAAAATTTCAGGCTTGCCTAATCAGAGATTGGTTTTGAAGATCAGAGCTCCTATTATCTTGCTTAGAAACATTGACCCAAAAGGAGGATTGTGCAATGGCACCCGGCTTATTGTCACTTAGTTAGCAAATCATGTTATCGAGGCAAGAGTGATTACAGGAAAATCTAACAGTGCTGTAGAGAAGGTTTTAATCCCATAAATGTTTGTTATTCCAGCCGATGCAAGATTCCCTTTCAAGATGTGCATAAGAAAATTTTCAGTATCGCTTGCTTTCGCAATGACAATAAACAAAAATCAACATCAGACTTTGGAGAAGGTAAGATTGTATTTGCCAAAACCAGTTTTCTCTCATGGTCAACTTTGCGTTGCACTTTCAAGAGTCACAACAAGAAAAGGCTTAAAAATATTGATCACTAACAACAAAGGAGCACCACAGAAAACGACAAAGAATATCATCTACAAGGAGGTTTTTACCAACATATAGACTATGTTTTTAAAAATAAGGCAAATATTATTTAGAGTAAGATATCAAACTGCATTGAAAGATTATTTCATTACTATTTACAAAGTTATTTTAAATGATTTTATGATTAATTTTAAAGTTAGTTTCAATTTTATATTCATATCAGAATCAATTATTCACAATACACAAACTAAAAATTACTCTGTTTTAGTTCAATGTTTTGGTTAATGTGCTTAACTTCATTATTATTAGGAGTGCTACAATATATATTATCTTTCATTTGATAAAAAAATATGCTACAAGAAAATAAAAAAACAACCATGCACAACACTAGAAAAACAATAAACAAAAAAAAATACATCCAAAAGGTTTTTAAAAAATATATACTCCCTATCGTTATCCTTATCCTATGACAAAAAATAATACCTAAAACGTCAAACATAATACACAACAAAAAACTTTAAACTAAAAATAAATAAACTCTGAATAACACAAACAAACCATGTCTAGAATACATAGAACAATGACCAAAAGATATTTAAATAATTTAAACAAAATTATTTTGATACAAACATGCATTATTCTACTCATTTTTAATATGTTATCACAATCGTCTACAAACAATAATATGCATATTCAATTAAAAAAATTAAAAAAAAAACCAAACTACTACTACATTTTCAAAAAAATCAAATTAAAAATTATATCAGCACGGGTAAGGCGCGGAGAAGTTAACTAGTTTCTATTTATTAATGCCAATAAAATTTTATGTTTATACATCGAATTGGTTTGGGAGTGGGTTTTTATCATAGATTTATACTATAAGAAAACTAATTATGGTGTTTTAATGGTTGGTGATTGATCAATATGTTAGTTTAAGACCAAGATTCTAGTTTTCTCGTTGTAATTTGAATAATGGTTAGTCACATGTGAACGCCTTAAAAGGCAAAAAAAAAACGCCTTAAAAGTCACATGTATTTTTTTTAATTATCTTTCAT